ATATAGATAAAAAAAACCAAGGATAGTTGAGAATAACTGTTATAGGACAACAAGGAACTGGGGATTAATAAGAACAATTATTTTAATTAGAAGGCTATGAAAAAATTTTATCTACTACTATAATGTGGGAATGAGCAGTCAGAAGCAATGCCAGCCATAAACAGCTGATTATTGTCAGGATGGTAAATATCACACAAGTTAAAAATCTTCCCTGGGTCCAATATCCTACAATTAAACCCTGTTGTGAGAATGTTTTTGGAAGGGACTTTAGAATTCTACAGGTACATCAGGGAGAGATCAAGTGAAGAAAATGAGAAAAACCTTTACTGCTACTCCATCCCCAGAAATACCTGTACCCCACAGCGCCCCTTTCTGTAGGAAGCCAACCAAGAGGAAAGACAATTGCCACATTCCATGAAGCTGGGCTTGGTGGTAGCCAACTGTAATCCTAGAACTCTAGGAGGCTGAGGCAGGGGGATCACAACCTTGAGCCCAGCCTGGGCAGCTTACTGACTTGTCTTAAAACATTGGGGGAATATAGCTTAGTGTGAAGGCCCTGGGCTCAGTCTGGCGGGGGCAGCAGGGAGAGGGAGAAAGAGAGGGACTGATTAATTGATTCATGGTGTTGGTGCTGTAAAATCATATGATGTGATCATTATATATATATAAAATGTGCCAATTGAATTTTGAAAAAGAAAAACACACCTTCAAGCACTCCCACACAGTTCTGTTTATTCCTCCTGGAATTTCTCCACTTGCCCCACCTAAAGACCGTTTTCACACAGCCTGATAACCCTTGTCCTGAATTATGCCTTTAGGTGATTAGGAAGAAATACCCAACAGATGGTTCTGAGATCGTGCTGCTGACTGACGGGGAAGATAACACTATCAGTGGGTGCTTTGATGAGGTGAAGGAAAGTGGTGCTGTCATCCACACCATCGCCCTGGGGCCCTTTGCAGCTCAAGAGCTAGAGCAGCTGTCTCAAATGACAGGTGAGGGATGTTCTGCTGTCACCCACTGCATTGTTTCTCCCACTGGACTGAGAGCTCCATGAATTGGAGAGGAGAGGGAATTGGGATGAAAAGAGATGGGAGTGATCTCCTTGACCAACTCGTTGCCCTTCCCCCATTATCCACAAGAATGAACTCTACCCACGTATCTTAAGAACTTGGTCTATGACTAGGGCTGTCCGGAGAAGACAGGTCAAGCAAGTGTGGTAACTTAGTGAGGATGCAGAGCTGCTTTCTTTCTCAGCACCTTATAAGAACTAAGAGGAATCTAACAGATTAACCAGGGGCCACTTACTTTCAGTTGACAATGGCCAAGAGAGCCAAGGGAGACAGGTGCCAAGCCACTGACCACGTATCACTGCAATACAAGTGTTATACGAGCAATGCAAAGTACGATAAGGCACAGAAAAGGTAGACTTTTAACCTTTCCTGGGAAAGAAGTCCTGGAAAGGAGAGCAAGGAGTACCGTGGGAGGGCAAAGAGCCTGATGAACGAAGGACAATGGTGCTCCACGCTGTAGCATATAATGTAGTTCCGCAATAAAGCATTAATGTACCATGTGTCTAACTCCCATAAACAGACGAGTTAACTAGATCCCATGGGTCTCTGGCTACTTTAGCAGAGTAGGTGAGCATAATCTTTTCCTTTTTTTAATTAGGTGGGGATGGTATGAAGGATACAAATTATTAAACTGAGTTGCCTTCTGGGGCAACTTGGATGGTATTTTAATATTTAAATATGGTTTCAAATTAACTGGGTTAGTTATGCATATTCTAAATAGCCCAAGACTGCCAAGCCTGGCGTATAATCTTATTTTTACTGTGTACCTTACTTTTCTATAACTATCCCTTTGTGTACTGTCACTGCTTGCTGTGGTCACCTGAGTGTCTTACTTGAGTTAGAAGACAATTCTAGAACTGAGTGTGATGGAGTTACATCTCAAGCATAAGCCAATCACCGGTGACTGATGGGCACAGCAATGTTGAGTTGGCCTTCTTGCCTCAGGGTGGGACTACTTTGGTCCCACTATGGTGTAATTCTGGATGCAAAACCCCCTGGGGCTGCCCTTCTGCAAAACTCTAAGTTTAGCTCCCCCTTGATCACTCCCTCCCTTCCAACTCCCTTTTTCTTGAGAGCCTTCACTCCCTACATCACGTGTTCCCAATTGCCTGAGAGAGGTTTAATGAATTTTCTCACATTCAAGTGTATGATTTTTAAAATGTAGATTTTATAGTATCAATTTTAGCTTCTCAGGTAAGGCTGGTATGCCGAAAGTTGAAGTAGCTAGATGACAGGGATATTGCTAAAGCTTTATTTACCAGGATTAAAAATTTAGCAACAACTTCTAAATTAATTTGTACATACATTTGATGTTAATCAATTTTTACTTTAATAACCCAATTAAATATTTATTTTATGTGTTCTGCCATTTTAGCAACAGTTAAAATGTTGCAAACACTTGATTCTTGGGAAACAACCTCTGATAATGTAATTGTGTTTTAGGAGGTTTACAGGAATATGCTTCTGATGAAGCTCAAAACAATGGCCTCATTGATGCTTTTGGGGCCCTCTCCTCAGGAAATGGAGCCATCTCTCACCGCTCCATCCAGGTAGGAGTTTTTCCTCCGTGTGTGTGTGTGTGTGTGTGTGTGTGTGTGTGTGTGTATGTGTGTTTACACATAATCATAGCCAAGATACAAAATTTCATAATTAGAAGTTTTAAGTTCTGTATTCCTCTAGTATTGCATTAAAATGAAAATAGAAGTTTCAGACTAATATTAGACATTATTCCTGAAATGCAACTCTACTCATCTAAACAAGGCAATTAATGTTTACTTGTTTAGAAGTAAAACTAAGTGAATTTTTCTAGAAACCAGCAATAGGTCCAATAATTCTTAACATCTGTTAGAAAGCACCCGAAACAATATAATTGGCTCAGAATTTCTTCACAGTAAATCATCTCATTACGAAATTATTTCTGGAATATGTGCTCAGGGATTACTTGTGCTATTTTTCCATTAGCTCAAATCTCTAATATTTGCCAAGATTGGCATATAAGACAGAGGACGCACTTTGCACTGTGGAAAGTCCATGCTCTCCATTCAGATGCTTGGTCTGTCATTAACTCTGACTGGAAGCAAAGCCTATCCAGGTGTGAACCAGAAAATGTCCATGACCCCATCTTGTTCTAAAATTTTTTTAAAAATCAAATTATCTTCCAAAATTCTTTGTTGTTGTTGTTGTTGTTGTTTTGTTTTTTGCTACTGGGGATCGAAATTGGGTCCTGGCATTTGTGAAGCAGGAGGTGGAACCACTCAGCTAAACCTCCTGCCCTCTTGGGATTATTTTTAAAAGGACACATGTATTTTAAAATGCTCATTGTCATAGTTGCAGATATTATCTGAATTTTAAACTAGAGAGAGTAAACAATAATAACATTAGTGTAAATTATATTATTATCAAATTAATTATTTTATTATAAAAGTTTGGGTAAAGGTAATAGGAGTAATGTCCAAGTCTAAATGTCACATTTCAAAACCATAGATTTTTGGGTCTACTGATGTAACATTTGTTCAATCTAGGAAGATAGTGACCATACCTCTCTGGCCTATCCTAGATAAGATTTAGAGAATCAAACTCAAAAGTCTGGTTTGGAAATGAAAGGAAAATGTCTTAGGAAAGTAATTACTTAATGAAATGACAAACTCACAGGCATTTTCTAGGAATTGTTTTTATGTAAATAAACTTAACAGGGAGATGGAGAAATGGTCAGAACTCACCAACCTGCCACAAGAACCATATCTAAGAGACCTTTGTAGCCTATGTAATTCGTAATCTACCTGCGAAACTAGGAAACCTGGCTCTATGACCAGGCTACTCTATCTTCTAATAGGCATCACCTTAAGGACAATTAATATATAGAAGATAATCATCAAAATTACATCTTCTACGGAAGGCTGATTAATCCTTCCCCACTCCAATCCCTGCTCTGAAGCTCCTCTACTCCAAAAATCAAATCCACCGTGGTCACCAACATATTTCACCTATCTTCATAAGGACATTTAGATGCTCAGCATAGCAATTAGTTTTTTTTTAATTCAAATAATTTATGTGTGGGTAAGAAATAAGTCACAAACAATCCTTGTAAGGTTTATAGTTAGTAGATGTGATTAGTCATGTACCCTAACAACTTGAAGAGAAGTGTAATGTGATGAACATTAGAGGACTGAGAAATAAAAAAGGTAAGAGAGTTCACAAAAAGAAGAGATGTTGTGCAAGTAATAAATGAGGTGAACGTCAAAGGAAGTTTCATGGAGAAAGTGATGGGGCGGGTTATTGGGACTGAACCCAAGATCTTAGCATGGGTCTATGTCCCCAGCTCCTTTTTCTTTCTCTTGAGACAAGGTCTCACTGTGTCACTAAATTGTCCAGGCTGGGCTTGAATTTACAATCCTCCTGCCTCAGCTTCCCAGAATGCTGAGATTATAGGCTTGTGCCAGCATGCCCATTTGAGAAAGTGATAGTTGAACTCCATTTTTAAGAATAAGTAAGGTTTAGACAAATAGATAGAAATGTAGATTTCTGGGAAAAGGAGAAAGTGCAATAAAGTCATAGATTTATAAAAGTTAGGGATTTTTTAAAGTTAAGGATTTATTAAAGTTAGAGATTCATAAGGATCCTTTTAGGAAGTGGTCTCATTTTGGCGAAAATTGTGGACACTAAGACTAGAAAGGTAATTTAGAACTAGATCGTGCTAGTTGTAAACACAAAACTAAGGACTCAGGCATCACTGATGGCTTTTTATTGGGCACTTGGGGATGGGGAGAAGTAGAAAAGACCATGAAATGTGAGCTGTGTTCTCTAGAAGGTAAAGAGTTGTTTTCTTAACAGCTGGAGAGTAAGGGATCAGCCTTCAAGAACCTTCAGTGGATGAATGGCACAGTGATTATGGATAGCACAGTGGGAAAGGATACTTTGTTTCTTATCACCTGGACAAACCAGGAGCCCCAAATCTTTCTCTGGGATCCCAATGGAACAAAACAGAATGGCTTTGTTGTGGACGCAGCCACCAAAATGGCCTACCTCAAAATCCCAGATATTGCTAAGGTATGGAGATGGGTATTTTTTTTTCTTTCTCATAATCAGAAAAGATAAAATAAAGTTTTAACAGAATCATTACGGCTTTAAAAATGTTGGTAGTTGCTAAGAGAAGGGTATTTTATTACGAAGAAAATGGTGGGAAAATCTCCATCCAGCAGAAAATGAATGACTCAGTTTGCCAACAAGTCAAAAGAAAGGAAAATGATATTTTGTCCAAATACTAAAAGGAGAATCTTGATATTGCATAGCATTGAAGATGAAAAAACAATCCTTGAAGTTTTGACAACACACAGAGTTTCCTCTACCTTAGAAACCCATCCTTGAAAAACCAAGGTGATGATGAATGAAGGAACAGCTTTCAGACCTCGTTTTCTCTGGTTGGGACCTTCTGACTGTGGGAACCATGTGGCCTTCTCGAGCACTCTCTGAAGGTTACCTTGCCTGACCAAGTGTCAGGGATGCCCACATTTTAGATACAGTCATGCTTGCAACATACTGTGCCAACAGGCTTTTCCTGTATGTGACACTGAAGTCAAACCTTTGTCACACTGTTATTCACTGGAAATGTCTGCGTCTATTTTGGTCAGGTTGGCATTTGGAAATACAGTCTGCAAGCAAGTTCACAAACTCTCACTCTGACTGTCGCCTCTCGCGCGTCAAGTGCCACCCTGCCTCCAATTACAGTGACCTCCAGAATGAACAAGGACACAGGCAAATTCCCCAGTCCTATGATAGTTTATGCAAATATTCGCCAAGGAATCTCACCAATTCTCAGGGCCAGTGTCACAGCTGTGATTGAATCGGCCAATGGAAAAACGGTCACCTTGGAATTACTGGACAATGGAGCAGGTAACCATCCAAGAAATTGGAAAACATAGTTTTGTTTTTCCAAGAAAGCAACCAGGGAATGGCAGAAGGGTATGGATCTAGTGAGGGAGCCGAGCTCTGGTCTGGTCGGGGGCTGGCTAGAAGAGTGCTGTGTGTCCTTATAATTCCTGTCTTCCAAAACATTGGAAAACAAGGAGAAGGGCTTGCCTTCGCTTTTGCAAAACCAAAATGCATTAGTGGCTGGAACTCAATAGGTTCAGAGACTCTGGAGAGATTCTAGATCCCCCCAAACTAAAAGAAGATTAATCAATAGATTATTTTGTATTAAATATTGTCTCCCCCTCACCACTGCATAAATATGTATATATAAGCATATATACAGAGATATATGGATTATATATCTTCATTTTTATGTTTATCATACACTTTTTAGACATTATTATCCTTGCATTAGAGTGGATGAATGGAAGTTTTTATATTTAAAAAACATCAGCAGTGGATCCCAGCCCACTTCTGCATGATTACTATGTCTATGCAGACGCTGTGTTAGCTTGCTCCCAAAGTCAAATCTCTGCCCATTATTCTTGTGTTTAAGAAACCTACCAGAGAGAGAAAAGGAATTCTACATTTCTTTTCAGAAGGAACATGTCTGCTTGCTGTGATGCAAATATCCTTATTAGAGTAAATTTCCCAGCTAAATCTACCTTGGGGAGAAATCAGGAATTTTATTGAATAATTATATACTACTTTTTCTTTCCTAGTCACATACGGTAATTTGACTCTGGTTGAACAAACACTTACTAAATAGGTATCTCGTGCTATGTTGGGTGTAACAGAGACACATGATGTGATCTCTGATTTCAAAAAGAATAAGTGATTCAGGAAAATAGACACATTTAAACTATACACACATACACTGTGATAAAATAAGAAGTAAGCCTAATCCTTGGCATAATCAAATCTTAAGGATGTTTGGAGATCATGCTGATTTCTCTTTGCTTTGAGAAATATATGAATGCCCAGATACCTTCAGAGCATTCATTGTTTCCTTCATTTCCCTGTCCAGGTGCTGATGCTACTAAGAACGATGGTGTCTACTCAAGGTATTTTACAGGTTATGATACAAATGGAAGATACAGGGTGAAAATATGGGCTCTGGGAGGAGTTAATACAACCAGACAGAGAGCAGTGTCCTGGGCAAATGGAGCCATGTACCTGACTGGCTGGATTGAGAATGGTAAGTCACCTGGATGGAGTAAAAGGCTTGGAAACAGGAAGAAACCATGAAGCCTGTGAGGCAGAATGATTCAGGATTAATTTAGGGTTTCTCAGCCTTAGCACTATTGGCATTTTGGGTCTGGCAATCTTTTGCTGCTGGGCACTGTATGATGTATTATAGATGGTTTAGCAATATCCCTGGCCTCCCCTCACCAAGATGTCAATAGCAGCCCCCAGTCATGACAATAAAAAAGTCCCCAGACCGCATCTGTTGTTCTCTAAAGCGGCAAAATAGTTGAAAACCACTTGATAAAACATAGTTTTGTTTTGTTGTTATTGTTTTTTTTTTTTTTTTTTTTTTT